ACTACTAATCAATGCGAGAAAAATTTGCATGAGATTAATACCTGAGAGAACCAAAGAGGAAACCCAATCTCCCACTAGGAAGCTACGCATGATATTGATACAACCAGGTAGAGTGATGTCATGGATAAAGAAATGTAGTTTCTCTAGAAAAATCGTACTTGGGATCTTGTAAAGTATCTTAAAGGCAAGAGAGTCATTGGATGTAAATGGGTTTATAAGACAAAAAATGGGTCACGTGAGACTGGTAGTGATTGTTTTAAAGCACGTTTGGTTGTAAAAGGCTATGCGGAGAAAAAATGTGTTGACTATAATGAGATCTTTTTTCTAGTTATGAAACATATTTCTATTCGGGTATTACTAGTCATGGTTGCATTGTTTGATTTTGAATTAAAGCAGCTTTGATATTAGTACTGCATACTTCATGGATAACTAGAAGAATATATTTATATGACTCGAGCAGAAGGGTTTGTCGTTAAAGGCAATGAGGGCCATGTTTGCAAGCTAAAGAAGTCATTGTATGGCCTAAGACAGTCTCCTAGGCAGTGATACAAGTACTTTGATACATTCATGATTGGACATGGTTATTTCAAAAGTAAGTATGATAATTGTGTCTATTTTAAGAGATTCACTGATAATATGTTCATCTATTTATTGTTCTATATAGATGACATGCTTATTGTTGTAAAGAATTCTTCTAAATAGTGAATTAAAACCTTATCTTGCCATAGAATTTGAGATGAAAGATTTAAGTTCAGCAAAGAAGGTCCTCGCTAGATTTAGGATGGAAAATTCAAAGCCCGTGGGTACTCATCTTGCTGCACATTTCATATTGTCAGTAACATTATCTCCAATTTCAGATGTTGAAAAGGAACATATGTTGAATGTTCCCTATGCGAGTGCAGTGGAAGTCTTATGTGTCAAATGGTTTGCACTCGCTCAGCTATTTATCATACTATTAATATTGTTAGCAAGTATATGACTAATTTAGGAAAGGAGCATTGGCATATAGTAAAATGAATTCTGCATTACCTAAGAAGTACATCAAATGTGGGTCTGATGTTTGATATAAATAACAAGTTTGGTGACAAAGTTATTGGTATGTTGATGTTGACTTTGCATGTGTGGTTGCATTATCTACGACTGAAGCAGGATACATGATAGTTACCAAGATAGTGGCAGAAGCAATATAGCTTAGATGGCTTATAAGTGATTTGAGCTAACGATAAATACGACTATTATTTATTGTGATAGTCAGAGTACAATACATTTGGCAAAGAACCAAGTATATCATGTAAGGACGAAGCATATTGATGTTAGATACCATTTTATCCATGAGATAATAGCTGAAGGTAATATTAAAGATTGATACCAAGGAGAATATTGAGAATATGTTGAGAAAGCCGGTTCCATTACAGAAGTTTAAACTATATTTAGATTTGACTAATGTGTTACCAAGGTGAATGCCTATAGAGGCACATGTGGAAAAGAATGATGGTAATTTCTTTTGGAATTCAAGCTAATGTGGAGATTTGTTGATAATTTGTCTTGAATCTCTAATTCTAAGGGATTAGTTTTTGGAGAAAATTTGATTGAATATAATATATGGTTTGAAGATGTTACATCCCAAAATTAAAATACTCCTAGATTGGGTTTTTACCCAAGGTAGTAAATAGATAGTATGCTCCCTATGGAGCATGAAATATTTTCGCATATCCACACATAGCCTATTATTAAAGACAAATTTAAGGGGTGGTCACAAGTTAATTCTTAGCACAGGACTACAAAAAAAAACCGGGTGGACACATATAACAATAATAAAGAGGGACCTAAAGATGCGAGAGAAAATATGGAAAGGAGCCCTAAAGTTAGGGTATAGTACTTAAGAATTAGGGTGTATAAATCTAATTTTTTTTTCAAATTTTAGAAATTCACTTGGGAATTAGTTAGTAATTATATTGAAAAACCAATATAAAGAGAGAGATATAGATGAACATGGAGATAAAAATAGAGATATTATGGCTTCATTATGGTGATAGACCTTCTAAACTTTTAGAAATTTATCTAGGAATTACTTAGCTATAGGAAAGCCAAGATAGAGAGAGGAAGAGAGGCATACAGAGATGAAATAATTTTTAATATTTTTTAAATGAATTTCTAAATGCTCACATCTCTAATATTGTGGCATACTCTTTAGGATGTAAGAATAATGTATATTAATCTCTATTTTTTTTTGAATTTTTTTTTTCTCTGAGTGGCTTTTGTCTCATTCCTGCTTACATTTATAAATATTTTTGTTATTTATTTTGTAAATAGATTTTATAATCTTTTATTCATTAAATCTTTTTATTATTATTCTATACTGCAGGATCTCTCATTCTCCACGTGCATACTATTTAACTTTGGGTGTGGTTAAGTTGCATTAAAAGAATAAAAGCAAAGAGAGAGAGAGGAGAGAAAAGCACATATAGAAAAAAAAAGGGAAAATATCTCCATATCATTTATTTTTAAGTTTCATTTCTTGATAAACTCAAGGTTTTAAAAGATATCTTCCAACCTCCTTGTCACTTTAAACTTATTTTTTAACCTAAATAAAAGTGAGAAAGACATGATCTTTCTAAATCAAATCATTTTTCTCTCTTCACTTATATACCCTAAACTTCTCTCTTTCTCTCTCTTCCTATATCTCTCTCTTTCTCCTCCTGTGTTTCTTGAAACACTTCTCTTTCCTCCGATAACTTCTCACCTCCTGGTAACCTCGCTCCTCCTGTGTTTGTGGGTTTTGTGAAGCTTATAAAAATGATGGGAGAGAGATTAGAAACATGAAGATAGAGAGAGAGCAAGAGAGAGAGAGGGAAGAGAGATGAAAAACGTGAAGAGAAAAAGAGAGGAGGAGAGAGAGTGAGGGGAGAGAGATAGGAAAGATAGAGAGAGAGAAGAGGTACAGGGAAGAAAAGTTTGAGAGGATGGTTTTTAAGATAGGCATGTCTTTTTATATTTGTTTGGCCTAAAAAAACAAGTTTAAATTAGCTCAAGGGTAAAAAGAAATAAAATCTACAATTGTTGTGCATCAAGATATTTTTTAAAACTTTGGGTCTATTGTGAAATGAAACATAAAAATAAATGTATGAAGATATTTTCCTAAATAAAAATTCCCACTACTTTCTCTTGATTCCCATTTTGCATTTATTAAAGTGATTGGGGTAGGTTTTACAAAATAATGCACTATGCATTCACATTTCCAATGCTGCCTAGAACATCTTATATGAATGATCTTGAAGACTATAAACATAGACAAAGCTTATTGATGAAATTATTAATTTCAACCTTAAGAGCAAAACAATGAGAGAGAGAGAAACTGGCAAATAAACATGGAGAGGATGTGAGAGAAACATGGAAAATGTGCCCCTTTGCATTTTAAAATAAAGCGAAGAATGCTACTTAGTTATTGGAAATTACTGACTTAAAATCAAGGTAGATGTAGGTCCATTATTTGTTGCATACGGAGATTCAAATAATTAGGTTTTGAAAACTATTAGAGACAAAAATATTGGTCTTTGTAAGAAAATGGAAACACACATTTTTGGAAAGAATATATATTCCAGAAAGCTTTTTATAAGCAACTTGGCTTAGGGAATTGATTAATGTCACTCTCTCCTAGCTGTTGGATTTGAATGAATGGTTAAGATACCTTTAGTTATAATGTCACAAGGGACCCTTGACCGTCTAATTTAGATCAAATGGCTTAGAGCATTTTATCATATATTTTTTTACAATCCAATAAAATAAAATATTGGTGCTTGTGATCATCTCAATAGGGTGCACTTGAAAATATTAAAAAATATTTTCAAAAAAATAAAATGATTGAAGTGTTTTTAAAACTTTTCGAGGAATTTTGATTATTTTATTTTAAAACTATTTTTAAATATTTTTATAGGTGTATACCTAACGAGTTAGGTAGGGATTAGGGTCAAGCTGGACCCAAACCAGACCTGAACAACATTCAGGTCCAGGTTTTGGACCTGGACTTGACTCGTTGGGTCTTTGATCTACCCCGTTGGGCCCTAGTCCGGTCGGGTCCATTGCAACTCTCACTATAAGTTTTTTTTTTTTTTTCTTTTTAACCATCATATACCTCTATTATTGGCAACAAGGTCACAATCACCCGCTATTAGATTTCAAACCGCCTGATTTGTTGTTTAATAATTAAATATGATTACGAGTTCTTATTATATACGACTCTAAATACATCAAAATGAATAGAGCTTAAAGTAAAATATTTTATCTCCAATCGTTTAGAGTACAAATGGGGGCCATTTGGACTAGACCCGAGCTTGAATAATATTCGGTCCAAGTGTTCGACCCAAACCTGACCCGCTGGGTCTAAATGCTGGACCTATACTCGAACCCATGTAGGAGCCGGGACCATTCTCACCCTCTGAAGCAGGTTAGACTCCCCAAAATTTGTGTCAATATGATATGTATAAAAATAACAATAATAAAAAATAATATTTAGGTGTGACATTATAACTATGATCATACCAACTGTCCTTTCAAATCGGAAGGGCTAGATATATATGAATTTCTTATACCTAATAGCACATAGAAGGCTAAAAATATTTGCCAAATTAAGATACGGAGGAATACATAGGCGGTGATGTACATAAATTTTTCATAGCTAGTACCACATAGAAGGCTAAAAATATTTGCCTAGTAATATATAGTACTACTTTCGATATTTCATGAAAGCATGGAGTTTTTTCCGTCAATTTTCCCTCGTTAACTTTCGGTTCCTCGTGATACCATTTGTCATAATAACCCCTTCCATCTTTTTAACGGTGCCCCTTACGCTTTTCTCAGACCATTATTCCTTTTCTCTCTCTAAAGTTCTAAACTCTCTCTACCTGCCCTGCACTGCACTGCCCTGCCACTCTCTCTCCTCTCTCCTCTCTCCTCTCTCCTCTCTCAACACACCCTCTCTCTTTCTAAAGCACGCCGGCGTGACTCTCTTTTCTCTCTCTAGAATGCCTTCAGTTTGTCTCTCTCTCATGTAAAGCACCCACCATATAATGTAAAAGACAGTTCTACTCTTTCTAGGCTCCCTTTCTCTCTCTAAAAAAAAGTTTTAGTATTCCCATTCTTTGTCTCTCTAAAATGTCCCAAATTCTCTTTTATCGGGCAAATTCCCTGCTTTTCACATTATAGACTGCCTCCTAAATCACCATGTAGAGCTAAAGGTCCCAAACTCTCTCCCTTCTTCTCCTTGTCCTCTTTTTCTCTCTCTAAAACTCCCACCTCACCCTCCTCCACACACTCTCTCTCTTCCCTGCAACCCTGCCATGGCGTCTCATCAGAAAACCACTTTCCTCCTCCCTCGAAACCACCATTCAAAAACCATTCACCACACCAAAACTGATTGTCCCTTCAACTGCGACTCTTGACTCCAAACCCCAAGTCCCCAACCTTCTTCAACCCCCTTCCAATGGCAGTTTCTCTCTCTTCTTTCTCTCTCTTCCTCTTAACGTGGCTCTGCTTCTTCAATGGAGGAGTAAAATCAGACGTCATGGCCTCTGATAAGCACGCCCTCGTAAGCTTCATCTCGAATGTACCCCATGAATCCAGAGTTGAATGGAACAAAACCCAGCCCATTTGTTCATGGGTTGGTATAACCTGTGATCAAAACCAGTCAAGGATCTTCTCTCTAAGATTGCCAGGAGTTGGCCTGGTGGGTCCGATTCCGGCCAATACAATAGGGAGATTAACGGAGCTCAGAGTCTTAAGCTTGCGGTCGAATCGATTATCTGGCGAGATTCCACCCGATTTCGCCGGATTAAAGAACCTCAGAAGCCTGTATCTTCAGAACAATGAGATCTCTGGTGAGATTCCCGCTGGTTTTTCAGGCCTAAATCGTCTAACGCACTTAGACCTCTCCTTTAATTCTCTCTCTGGTTCCATTCCTTTCTCTCTCAACAATCTAACGCTATTATTCGCTCTCCTCTTACAAAACAACTCGTTTTCTGGTCCAATCCCAAGCCTTAATCTGCCAGGTCTTAATAGATTTAATCTCTCTCATAATCGCCTGAATGGGTCCATTCCCATCATTTTACAGAGGTTTCCTGCATCTGCATTTGAGGGAAATCTTGAGCTTTGTGGTGATCCGTTGCCTAATCCTTGTAAGCCCTTTTTCGAGGCCCCAGCTCCATCACCAGGGTTGAATCCCATGGTCAGGAAAAGATCGAAGAGGCTTTCGACGGCTGGGATTGTTCTCATAGCCATTGCAGCCTCTGTTCTTCTCTTCTTTTGCCTTCTCCTCCTGCTCTGTATTTGCCGGAAAAGACGCCGGGTTCCCGCCAAAACCCAAAAACCGTCAGAGAGGGGGTTACCTGAAGCTGTTGCGTCCTCTTCCAAAGATGAGTATATGAGTGGGAGCCATGAAGGAGAGAGAAACAAGCTTGTTTTCTTTAATGGGGGGCTCTATAATTTTGATTTGGAGGACCTTTTGAGAGCTTCGGCCGAGGTTTTAGGGAAAGGAAGTGTAGGGACCTCTTATAAAGCAGTTTTGGAAGATGGAACAACAGTGGTGGTGAAGAGATTGAAAGATGTTGCAGTTGCCAAGAAAGAATTTGAATCGCAAATGGAGGTTTTGGGGAAGATTCAGCATAGGAATCTGCTTCCATTAAGGGCTTTCTATTTCTCCAAGGATGAGAAGCTCCTGGTCTATGATTTCATGGTGGCCGGGAGCTTGTCTGCGCTTTTGCATGGTGAGCTTCTGCAACTTTTTTCACACCCATGTTATAAAGAAACCACATTTTTTTCCTTCTGTTCATATTTTACTTTCTCTCTGTTTCTTCATCTTCTTGGACCAATATGAAGAAAACCCATTGTTTTTTTACCATGAACTCTCTCTCTCTCTCTCTCTGTGCCGTGCTCATTTGAAGAATACATTTTTTATTTCCCCCACCTTGGAATGTCTCTGGGTTTTCGCCCATTTGAAGAGAAACCCTACCCTTTTTTCATATTGGTCTCTCTCTCTCTCTATGCCATTTGAAGATAAACCCTAATTTATTTTTAGACTGGTCTCTCTCCCTCTGTTCTCTCTTCCTCGAGGCATTTAAACAGAATCATTATTTCCTGCATTGTTTTGCCTACCTCTCCATCTGCATTTCTGCTTAGAACAATATCAGAAAACCCTAATTTTCACATTGGACTCCCCCCTCTCTCTCTCTCT